CCCTTCCTCCCCCTTCCAGCTCCCTCCTCCCAGGTTTCCCCCTCCCCTCTCTCACCCTCATTCCTCCCTCCCCCCACCCCAGTTATGTACAATAAAGAGAGGGTTTTTTTCACAAAACAGCTATTTTTCTTTTACATTAGGAAGGGGGGTTAGGAAGGGTAAAGGGGAAGGAGGGGGAGGGTGGAAGAAGGCCCCAGTGGGGCATGCAGGGAGAGTTCAGTCCTCCTCCACCTGGAAGCTCTCCCACAGGGCTTCCCGGATCTGGACGGCCCCCTACTGGGCCTCCCGGCTGACAGTGGTGCGGGGCTGCACATACTGGCCAGCCATGCACTCAGCCTCAGCCATCCAGGCTGGCAAGAAAGCCTCCCCCTTCCGCTCACATAAATTGTGCAGGACACAACATGCTGCCACTACGGGAGGGATATTGTGCTCGGCGAGGTTGAGGTGGGTAAGGAGGCATCTAAATCAGGCTTTCAGGTGTCCAAAGGCCCCCTCGACCACAATGCGGGCCCTGGTGAGCCTGGCATTGAAGGTCTGCCGGGAGGGGTTGAGGTGCCCCGCAGAGGCACTGGCAAGCCACCATCTTGCATTCCTGGGATGTGGTGTGTCGTATCAGGGGGTGGAATGTGGCCAGACAGCCTGCCTCCATATTATCCATCTTATTTGCCTCTCTGAAGCCCAGGGCAGAGAAGGAGCAATAATATCAGCATAGTCTATGCTGGCTCATCTGATCCTGAGAAGCTGAAACACAGATACGTGGAGAGAGAGCAGCTAATGTCAATAAGCTGGCCTCGAGGCTGCGGCTGGCCCCTATGTTGATTCGAACACACACACAGTCCCTGAGAGGAATTTTCCACTGAGAAAACAATGTCCTGTACTTCAAAATTTAATCACCTCAAATCTCTCTTACAAGTGTAAATTAAGTTCACAACTCCCTTGTAAGAACTGGTCTCACAGCAGACAGACCAGCATCAATTGGCAATTAAGATAAGAAAGAGAAATACGTGACCTCATGATTATAAAAGATGGGCCCAGCACACACTCACTTTGAGTGTCATTCTACCCTCTACCTGCTGGTCGGGTTAGGTGTTTGACCTCCCGAGGTTCTATGGGGACGCCCACCTCGTATTTTCGTCTTTCCTAGGAATTGAGGGACCGGCCCTGGCCTGACATGCTGGAGTCGAGAGGCACAGAAGGGGGTAAAAATGGTACCTGGATGTGGTCCTCTGTCTTAAGTGTACACATAGAAAGAGTAAGCTGTTACTTGGTACCATTATTTCTATTTTTCTATCTTTATCTTCTTTGTAACCATTTTTAAGACCTATATTTTGCTAATAGTTAAGAAATAGAGCAATAGCCATTGTAACCATATGATTTATAAGCTTCTTTAATAAACCTGTAACTGTTTAAGCTTTAACCTGCCTCCTTCAGTTGCTGTAACAGAACCAAGCACAATTTAAAAGAACTTCAGCCGGTCTAAAGGGACAGTTATAGGAAGAGCTTGGGCGTTTGGATCTGTGTCACTCCCAGGTGACAGGACCCACTGGGGCATCTTTCAGTCTTTCCTCAAGGCTGCCCGCTGCGAAGGAATTATGAAATTCTAGCAGCTGAAATCTAAGATGTAATAAGCTCTTCCTATATAACGGGGCGTCTGTTGGCCTGCTGGCCACCCTCTGCGATGGGACCCCGGTCCTAGCAGTAAAGGCACGGACGTTAAACCTTTTCTCGGAAACATACACACACACGCTGCCCTGACCGTCGGCTGACAGGCACACGGAGGAGTTCCAGAACATCCTGGCGTTGTGTGCCTTGCTGGACCAGCCCACATTAATGTCTGTGAACTGGCCCCGGTGGTCACACACGGCCTGCAGGAGGATGGAGAAGTATCCTTTGCAGTTGATGTACTGCGAGGCCTGGTGTTCCGGGGCATGGATGGGGATGTGTGTCCCGTCGATGGCTCCCCCGCAGTGGGGAAGCCTAGGACACCGAACACCTGGATGACCGTGTCAGGGTCGGCAAGGCAGACCACCCTGTGGAGCAGCACCCAGTTGATGGCCTTGACCACCTGCAGAGAGACACGGCAAACCATGAATCACTGGGGGGCCCGGATGGCTGGGAGTGTTCGTTCCCTAGCACTGCCCTGTGCCCCACTCCCGGAAGCAACCCCTGCTGCAATCCTGGCCGCTGCGGCTCTTTTGCCTCCCCCCCCCCTTTTTCCCGGGGGCG